CGGGACGAAAGGCGGAGACTGGCTGTGTCGATTCCCGCGTGGGCGGAGAAGGGGCGGGGCATGTAAGGAGACCTGAACGGGATTTGAGGTTAGGCGGGGGCGGGGTTTGAGGGCGGGGCCTGGAAGAGATGGGGCGGGGCATAGGAGGAGCTGGTGGTGCGGCTTTAGATGGAGCTGGTACTAAGACAGGTCGCAGGGGCTGTGGGCGGGTTGTGGGCGTGGTTGCGGGACTGAGGACGCTGTGGTGGAGGCTGAGGGCGTGGTTATGGGTGTGGGCGGGGCCTGCGGGCCGGGAGGAGCTACCGATCCAGCCCCTGCCCCTCACTGTGGGCAAATCCCCTCTTCCCCCTGGCATCGGGGCTTCTGGGGCTTGAAGACCCTGGGTCTGCGGGAAGCCCTTGCTGAGCGTCCCTCGCCTACCCCGTGGCCAGTGGGTGAGTAGGGCTAGATCTCCGCCCATCTAGGTTCCCTCCTGCCCCAGCTCTGGCGTCTGACATCCCAAGGAGGAATGCAGGGTGGGGGCATTTGAGCCGGACCTGAACCATCCTCATGATTCTCAAAAAGTAGCTTTATTGTGGTGTAATTGATAGACGGTAAGCTACACATTTTAATTTGATACGTTTTGACACTGGGATACGCCTGTGAAACCATCACCACAATCAGTCTAGTGAACACCCTGGGTTACCTCTTGGTCATCTCTCCCTGCCCTCCCTCATCCCCAGGCAAGCACTGATCTGCCTGCTGTCACTACAGATTACTTTGCATTTTCTGTAATTTGCACAAATGGAATCGTATATGTGCTTTTTGTGTAGCTTCTTTCGCTCTGCAATTATTTTTGAGATTCACCTGTGTCGTTTGGTTTGTCAATGGGTAGTTCTTGCATGGCTGCGTGGTACTCCAGTGTATGAGTGTACCACAGTTTGTTTCCATTCACCTGCTCGTGGGTATTTGGGTGGTTTCTGGTGTTGGCTCTTACAGATAAAGCTGATCTGAACATTGTGCACAAGTCTTTGGATGAATGCTTTTCTTTCTCTTGAATAGATGTCTAGGAGTGAAGTGGCTGGATGCCACGGTAGCCATATGTGAAACTTTTTAAGAAACTGCCAAAGCGATTGTATGGTTTTACATTCCACATCCTCCCCAGCACTTGGTATGATTGGTCTTTTTAATTTCAGATACTCTAATAGGTGTGTGGTGATAGCTGGAATTGTGGTTTTAATTTGTATTTCCCTGTTGGCCAATGATGTTGAGCATCGTTTCATCTGTTTATTCTCCATCTCCCATAGTAAGCATTGAGTTCAAATCTTTTACTCACTTTTAATTGGGTTGTTTATTTTCTTATTATTGAGTTTGGGAGTTTGTTGTATATTCTGGGTACAAGTCCTTTATCAAATATGTGATCTTTAAACATTTTCTCTGAGCCTTTGGATTGTGTGTTCATTCTCCTAGCAGGTTTTCAAAGAGCAGAAGTTTAACTGTCAGAAAGTGCGATTTATGTTGTTTTGTTTTGTTTTGTTTTATGGATCCTGCTTTTGGTGTCATATATAAGATTTGCCTCACCTAAAGTCACAAGGGTTTTAGAGTTTTAAAGGTTTGCATTTGGGTCTATTACCTATTTTATTTGGGTTTATGGTGTGAGATACGATTCAATGTTTACTTTTTGTGTATGTGGATAATCAGTTTTTTCCAGACTGTTGAAAAAACTATCCTTTCTCTTGTTTGCTGAGAGTTGTTTAAATCAGGAATGAAAGTTGGATTTTGTTTTTTCTGCATCTATTGAGAATCTTTTTGCATGATGGTCTGTTAATATGATAGCATATACTGATTGATTTTAAAGTGTTAAATCAATCTTGTGTTCTTGAGATAAACACCACGTGGTCATGATGTATTATCATTTTTATATGTGGTTGAATTATTTAATGGATATACAACTGCTGAGTTTGTTGTATTCCTGAATGTATGTAGTTTGTATCACTCAAGAAATTGTCCAAGTTGTTGAATTTATTAGCATAAAGTTATTCATAATATTCCCTTATCTTTTCAACATCTGTGAGTCATGAAGTGACATCACCTTTCTCATTTCTGATACTGGTAATTTGTGGTTTTTTTTTTAAACTGAACAATCAGAAGTTTATCAATTGTATTGATCTTCTCAAAGAAATAGTTTTTTGGTTTCATTGATTGTTGCACTTTTTTTTTCATCGACTTCCACTCTTACTTTTATTCTTTCTTTTGCTTTTTTTTTTTTTTTTTTTTTTTTAGACATTTTTTTTGAGACAGAGTCTTGCTTTGTGGCCCAAGCTAGAATTCAGTGGGTGCAATCTCAGCTCACTGCAAACTTCACCTCCCGGGTTCAAGCAATTCTCCTGCCTCAGTCTCCTGAGTAGCTGGAATTACAGGCATGTGCCACCATGCCCAGCTAATTTTTGTATATTTTCAGTAGAGACAGGGTTTCACCATGTTGGCCAGGCTTGTTTCGAACTCCTGACCTCAGATTATCCACCCACCTCGGCCTCCCAAAGTGCTGGGATTACAGGCATGAACCACTGCATCCAGCCTCTTTTGCATACATTGGGTTTGACTTTCTATTCTTTTTTAGGTCTCTTAAGGTGGAAGCTGGAGTCACTGATCTGTGATCTTCTTTTCTAGTATAAGCATTTAGTACTATAAATTTCCCTCTAAGTCCAGTTTTAACTGCATCCCAGAAATTTTGATATACTGTATTTTTATTAAGTTTAAAATAATTTATAATTTTCCCTTTGATTTCCTTTTTGACATGTGAGTTTAGAACTATGCTATTTCATTTCCAGATATTTGGGCATTTTCCAGAGCTCTTTCTGCTGTTGATCATTAATTTAAATCCATTGTTGTCAGAGGACATCTTCTATGTTTTGGATCCTTTTAAATTTATTGAGACTCCTTCATGGACCCGAATATGGTTGGCAGTTGTTGCATGTGCACTTGAATTTGTGTTCTGTCGCTCCACAAAGTGTCCTATAAACAGCAATGACTGTATTATTTGAGTCGCCTATATTATCATCCCCTTTCTGTCTACTTGCTCTGTTAATTATTGAGAGACCAGCCTGGGCAACAAAGTGAGACACCATCTCTACAAAAAAATCAAAACCTTAGCCATGCATAGTGGCGCGTGCCTGTAATCCAAGCTACTCGGGAGGCTGAGGCAGGAGGATTTCTTGAGCCCAGGAAGTCAAGGCTGCAGTGAGCCATGATTGTGCCACTGCATTTGAGCCTGGGTGGCAGAGCAAGACCCTGTCTCAAACAAATTCTTGATAGCGGTGTTGAAACCTCTGACTGTAATTGCAGATTTGTCTGTAATTTTTCCTCGCAGTTCTATCAGCTTTTGCTTCGTGTGTTTTGAGACCCTGCGCTCACGTCGTGCATGCTCTTAACTGGTTGACCCCTGTGTCATCATGAAATGACCCTCTTTATCCCTAGACCCTGACTTGAAATCGATTCCTGCTTTCCTTTGATTAGTTTAGCACGGGATATCTTCTTTCACCTTGCTACTTTCTACCTAGTGTGTCTCATACTTAAATTAGCTTCCTTGGAGATTTCTGTAGGATCAAAGTATCTGCTTTGACATATTTATTAACTCTAAAAAAGTAATAACAGCTTTTCAGTGGAGAAACCACCTTATCTATGTGACAATGCTCGGGCTGTCAGTGGCAAGGCAGATTGGCATCATGTACCCTTGATACGACACCCTGAGAAGGATGTCACTTCTGCGATATTCCTGCCGAAAATGCATCTCCCCATTCCAATCGTGAGAACATCCCGGGCACGCCCAAACTGAGAAAAACTCTACAAAGTGACTGGTCAGTGCATTCAAAGGCAAAAAGCTCATGGAAGACGAGAGAAGACAGGAGAAGTGACAGCTAAAAGTAGTGGGGAATCTTGCAAGGCACAA